CTCTGACGTAGCGCAAATGATGCTCATTTACATATCTGAACAGCATGCTTGCAAAAGAATCTTTGTGCTTTGAAAGAGCCAACAGAGTTTTTGAGCCACGCAATAATTAAACTCTATTCTTTGGACCCTTTATTCATAAATCTGTAAAGTCACCTGTACGGAACCTCTTAGCGATAGCTGAAATAGTAACAGAGCTTTTTGCTAGCTGCAGGCACAGACTCGGAGCATTCTTCCAGAGCATTCTTTCTAACATGGCTTGATCTAGCACAGTGCTTTGAGGTTCAGTTTGATCTACATAAAGCAGCAGTCACCCCATTTCCTATCTCATAGCTGAATGATTCATAGCTTATCTGATTCTAATCATGGCTGCCCCATGCAGAGCCACTTATCTCAAGCTGGATAGTTTAACTCACGCTGATAAAAATGTTGCTGCTTAAATGATAGCACTTAATTGCCCCTTGGCACTGCTGCCACACAGGGTAATTCCAGATGAATTCTCCAGAATTCTGGGAGGATAACAGCATCAAAATTTGACACCTCTATCTGTGCCTAACTGCAGCAGTACGTTGGCCAAACACATTTTGGATGTTCTTAATTTCAAATTTTGAAGGGCTGTTGCTTTTGTATTCTGCACTTCCTCCTAGTCATCTGAAATAAAGATGAGCCTTGCTGGATCAGAGATTACAGTGGTACCTCGTGTTAAGTACTTAATTTGTTCCGGAGGTCCGTTCTTAACCTGAAACTGTTCTTAACCTGAAGCACCACTTTAGCTAATGGGGCCTCCTGCTGCTGCCGCTGCACCGGAGCACGATTTCTGTTCTCATCCTGAAGCAAAGTTCTTAACCCGAGGTACTATTTCTGGGTTAGCGGAGTGTGTAACCTGAAGCGTATGTAACCCGAGGTACCACTGTATACCTGAAGAAGTGTCTCTACCACCATGAGATCCAGCTCCTTGGGCCTTCTGGTGGTTCCCTCATTGTGAGAGGTGAAGTTACAAGGAACCAGGCAGAGTGCCTTCTTGGTAGTGGCATCCTCCCTGTAAAACACCCTCCCAGCAGATGTCAAACACATAAACAGCTTTGTGATTTTAAAAATACATCTGAAGGCAGCCCTGTTCAGGGAAGGGTTTAGTGTTTGATGTTGTATTGTGTTTTTTTCCTATTTTTTGTTGGGAGCCGCCCAGAGTGTCTTGGGCAACCCAGTCAAATAATAATATTTTATTTTATTTTATATTTTATTTTATTTTATTTTATTTTTTCATCCAGTCTAGCTAGTATCCTGTTTCCAACAGTGGCTAGTCAGAAGCTCTGACATGTTTCTTTATGTGAGCTGTAACAGGCACTTGTTAGTCATGACTGACTTTTCACATTGAGTTTGATGAGATCTAAGCGTAACTAATGAAGGGACCAATCCTCGCTGCTCCCCACCCTGCCTGGTAGGGCTTTATGGAGTGGAGGGGCCACAGCCACATGTGCATGGCGGTCAGGTTGGAAGGAGTGGGACAAGCAAATCACTGGATCCGGATCAGGCTCGATGCTGTCACATGATAGCAGTGGTGGTAACTCAGTCCTGCCTTCTCCCTGCTTCCATAATGCCCAGTTTCAGGGCTTTTTGCCAGTTTCCACCCACCCATGTTTAGCAGGTGGAATGGGCAGTTCCATACTGGTGGAATGACACTGGTGTCTCTTTGCACTGGTGAAGTTGAGCAGGAGGTTGAGCACAGTGTCCTCAGACTTGGAACTGTCCATGGTGCTAATAGCTCCTATTGATTTAGCTAGACTTCACTGATCTGGTGTCCTGTCAATGTTTTGGAGCCAGCGTGGTGTAGTGGTTAAGAACGGTGGACTCGTAATCTGGTGAACTGGGTTCGCTTCCCCGCTCCTCCACATGGCAGCTGCTGGGTGACCTTGAGCTAGTCACACTTCCCGGAAGTCTCTCAGCCTCACTCACCTCACAGAGTGTTTGTTGTGGGGGAGGAAGGGAAAGCAGATTGTTAGCTGCTTTGAGACACCTTAATGGGGAGTGAAAGGCGGGAAAGCAAGTCCAAACTCCTCTTCCTCCTCTTCTTCTTCAACAGTCGCAGACAGCACATCTTGCTTTTGGGTTATTTCCTTGCAGAGAGTTTTATACATCTTCCCATTAATCATTTGTCCAGCCTAAAGTTTTCAGTGTATTTCTCCATCCCTTTTTCTAACTGCAAAAGTCTGGTTGTTAAAAAGTAGGTATGTTGTGCTAGGATGTCAACAGAGCACAATTCATCCCCTTTAATTGTGCACATCTGTACTGCTGCCATGTGCTTTAATCCCTCCCACAAAATATTGATAGTCTGGTGGCACCAAGAATGGGTAAGAAAAAGCGAGGGGGGAAGGTTGGAGAGAGAACTATCAGAGGAGCAAGGGATGCTGATGTTGTGAGAGAGGTGAGGATTAAGCCAGTGCTAAAAATATAAAGAGAGGGGACAAATGCGATCTAGTACACTTACTTTTTGTGATTGCCCCTGGTTACTCTTTTAGAAGGCTATGAAGGGTCGATGAGTTGGTTAAAATTGAGTCAAATCATGGGTGTGTGTCTGTGATTCTCATGGATGTATGTATCGATCTTGCAGACCCCTTACCTTTCCTTTCATCCTTCAAGCCCTGGGCTAAGGCACAGGCTTCATGGGTTAAATAGAAATCTATGAAGGATGTCCCATGGACTGCAAGATCAAACCTATCCATTCTTAAGGAAATCAGCCCTGAGTGTTCACTGGAAGGACAGATCCTGAATCTGAGGCTCCTACACTCCTACACTTTGGCCACCTCACGATAAAAGAAGTCTCCCTGGAAAAGACCCTGATGTTGGGAAAGATTGAGGGCACAAGGAGAAGGGGACGACAGAGGACGAGATGGTTGGACAGTGTTCTCGAAGCTACTAACATGAGTTTGACCAAACTGTGAAAGGCAGTGGAAGACAGGAGTGCCTGGTGTGCTCTGGTCCATGGGGTCACAAAGAGTCGGACCTGACTAAACAACAACAACAAATGAAGGATGTGCTGTGATTGAGGGAAGGAGCTGAAGGGCAGTGAGAGAGAATGGCTGGATCTGTCTAAGAGTGGCATTGCTGAAGGTATGAAGGTCACAGGCTAGGACATATTGAGAGATATTGGGAGATAAGGACAGAAGCTGTGGGAGAACTATACTGGTGGAGAGTGAGGTAAGGGTAAGACCTTTGTGTTCTATACAAGATGGAAAGTGAAGTGGGTGTAGGCATTTGAGTATGGCCATCTTGTGGTTTGAATTGAAAGTGTAGTTTGCAATCACCAACTTCTAAAAATCCATCTTAGTTTGCATCCCTGGTGGCATTTTGAATGCTTTATACAAGGCTGAATTCTTGAATCCCAAGGCATCTTCATTTTAAAAAATTGTTTATCAGTTTCATAGTTACCCAAATAAATCATTCATAGGGCAAACTGCAGCCAAAGGTAAGCACTTTTAAGCCCTATTAATTTCAAGTTGGAGTGTTATGCATGCGATTAAATCTACTCATTGAAATCCATGGGATTTAAAACTCCTTCACGTTCCCTGGACCTTTCCCATAAGATTTTACAGAGCAACATAAAAATCCTCATGAGGCTGCTACATTTTGCATTAGCCTTACGAATGCTACACTGACATTTAGGAATGGTTATTTATCCTGCTTAAGTTGATTCTCTCTGTCATAGAGTGAAAGTCTTGAGGAAATGCTATCACTTACAATTTGGGAATCACTTTACTTTCCCTATATTCAATTTCCTTTTTTTCTTTTGCCTGCCATTTGGGTATTTGGCCGCATAATATGATTTGCTTTTCATTTATTGATTTACCTACCTATTTTGTTTTTATACTTCACCTTTTTAGTCGACCAGGACCCTCAAAGTTCCACACAACTATCAAAACATTTTTTTTAAAGCTTGTTTATTGTTTTAATGTACAGGTGGGCAACCTGTGGCTATGGGGCTACGTGCAGCCTAATTTCAAAAGCCCTATAGAAAAGGAAACTATCTTTGCTGGGCAAGGCAGAGTTGGCAGGGGAAAGGGGGCAGAAAGCAGGGATTGGTTTGTATCCAAAATATCGCTGAGTAACATGTCCCATCAGCTCAAGGATTTATGCCTGTACTATGGGACTCCCCCCCCTGCACTCTGCTAAATCTGTTCTAGGTGTCCCCCCCAGCCTTCTGGAGGGTGTGGGGGTAACAAGGCAGGAGGAGAGGGAGAGAAAGTCCCATTGTGCAAACAGAAATCGTTGTGCTGATGGGGCTCATTGGTTGGGTACCACCCAGCATCAGAAAAAAGAGAAAATGGATAGTGCATCCATGCATGCGCGCACACACAGATAATGGAGTGGCAGAAAGTGAGAGAGAAAATGGATGAACCCACCCATTTTTGGCTCTGGACCTTCTTATCCCCGGCTCTGGTCCTGCCCACAGCCAAAGTGTGTCTCTTGACAGATTACTCCCGGGGAAATAAAAGATTTCCTACCCTTGTTTTATTGTTTCCTGTGAGTTTTGTACGAACTCCCCTGAAAATATTTATCTTGAACAGTGGCATAGAAATGAGTTAAATCAATTAAATAAGTCACAACGGAGAAAAAAAAGGTTAGGTCTATATATAACTCTCAGTGGTACATTAACAGTGTTAAATTAAAAGTGATTCACTTCATCATTAAAATGCCAATGGGGTTGGACCAGACCAGAGTAGAACCATTAAGATTATCGGACATTGCTAAGTACATTGATTTCAATGGATATGGCTTATCATGCCCCAATACCGTGATAAGCTACGTATACATTGTGATATTGACAGCAGCCAAAATGAGGACTATTGGCTTTTAGGGGTGCAGTTATACCTTTTTTAAAAATTTGAGATCAGTGGGGCTATATCCCAACAACGGTCAGCAGCAGCACTATCCTAAGTAAAACCACCAGCCCTCAAAGGCCTAGTGAATACTTAAAAAAAAGACCTTTCAAGGCAGGGACATGACAGGCTGGATAGCTCAATTGGTTAGAGCGTGGTGCTGATCATGCCAAGGTCGCAGGTTCGATCCCCATAACTGGCAGCTGCATATTCCTGCATTACAGGGTGTGTGTGTGGATAAGATGATCCTCAGGGTCTCTTCCAACTCCAATGAATAGCAAGTTTGGTGTCCCCCAGATGTTGTCTAATGCCCCAGCCAAAATGGCCAATGTAGTCCTTCAACATCTGGAGTCCATCAAGTTCTGGAGGGTGCCACATTTATTACCCCTGTTCTAAGGGTTCTATATGTCTGTAATTAGACCAAAACCCCCCCAGATGTGACTGCCATTGCCCCCCAGGTCCTGCTTGTGGACTTTCCATGGTCTTCTAGTTGGCCAATGCGAGAACACGATGCTTGACTAGATGAGGCACTGACCTGATCCAGCATGTTTCTGATTACCCTCCGATGCTAACTGCAGCACAGGGGTGAGTTTTGTCTAGATCATGGCTCAGTGGGAAGGGCTAAACCCATACTATGTGTTCCTGATGAAAATGCCTCCCTCTAAAGGTAAAGGGACCCCTGACCATTAGGTCCAGTCATGGCCGACTCTGGGGTTGCGGCGCTCATCTCGCTTTATTGGCCGAGGGAGCCGGTGTACAGCTTCTGGGTCATGTGGCCAGCATGACTAAGCCCCTTCTGGCGAACCAGAGCAGTGCACGGAAACGCCGTTTACCTTCCCGCCAGAGTGGTACCTATTTATCTACTAGCACTTTGACATGCTTTTGAACTGCTAGGTTGGCAGGAGCAGGGACCGAGCAATGGGAGCTCACCCCATTGCGGGGATTCGAACCGCCAACCTTCTGATCAGCAAGTCCTAGGCTCTGTGGTTTAACCCACAGCACCACCCGCGTCCCTGGTATTAAAGGAAACATCCCCCCCCACACCCAGTGGAGATGTAGCTGATTAACTGTAACAATTCACAAACCACATTTCAGCAAATCCCAGTCCTACAATAGTTCAAGTGAATGGTTGACTGGTGTTGCTTTTCAATTTAGTTGCTTCTTCTGTACTTGTTGGTACTGATGATGATAAAGATTCCATGAGATCTTACAGCACAAATGCTTTCTCTTAACCAACTTTGACCTCTTTTAAAAAGCCTGTGGTGGCGGCGGCGGCAGTGGGGGGCAGGTGGTGGGGGTGCCAGGAGAATAGATTGTTGTTCATAAACAACTTCCCAACACAGTGTGTGTGTTTTTGGTAAGAGTCTTTCCCTGCTCAGAACTTTGAATGAAAAGCAGCTTGTCATTTAGACTAAAAGATAAATTTGATGGGGCCTGGTCCATCTCCCTATGCAGACACATTTTGACACAGTGTATTTGAGTGCTAATAATGACATTAGAAGATGTTGGAAAGAGATCTAATTCAGCATGCAGAAGCGACTTCGCTGTCATCTCCTATTTTCTGCACAATTGACAGCAGATACTTGGGGCTGAATTTTTATTTCAGGTCAAATTTCCAACACATGTGATTGTCTGTTAGAAACAGATAAGACCAAATCCAATACCAGAGCACTTGTGGGGAAGTGTCAACAGTGCTGAGAATCTGTAAAGGATGCTTCAGTTCTCTGTTTAGGACATAACATGACAACATATGTTTTTAACAGGCAGAAAATCCAGCCAACAACCCCCTGACGATTTCTTAAATTTCTGTCTGGGGAGACTCATAAGACGATTCTCTATTTGGGTTGGGTAGGTGGTGTTGGGAGGGAGCAGAATGGAGACGAGAGAGGCTTTGTTTTCAACCGAGGCAGCTTCTCTGGTGCCTTTTTTCTAAAACGTGCGGAAGAAAGCAATTGTTCTTTGGGCACATGTACACAGAAGCCTCCAATGCGCTTGCTTTGGTGCAGAGTCAAAAGGTTGAGAACAGCATTGTGGGGGCACATAATACTATATAGCATGGAATAGTGTGAGTAATTGAATTTACATGCATGCATGTACGTATTTTATACCTATCTTTAAAATCCTGTATAAAGGTAGGCCACTTTTTAAAAAAATAAAAAATGTTACATAAAATAGTTTAATGCATCACAACATGCTACATTATGTTTGAGGGTGCAATGGTACCTTTAATCTTTTCTTCAGGCACCCACAAAGCCTGGTCTGTGCCTCTGTGTCTCCTTGGTCAGGAGACTGTGTGGAGGTGGAAGTTAAAAGAGTAATGTTCTTTCCTACTTCCTCTTTTAACTCTATGTACTTTTGAAGTCTCAGATTAATTCTACTGGATTGAATTTCACCTGGATTCCTTGGAAAAGTATGTGCCTGATCTCTTCCTCCCTCTCTGTATGAGGAGGGGGATCCACATGGGGGGGATGGGGGGGAGAAGTAGCCAATAGGTGTTCACAGTATTTATTCAAAAATCTAGATGTTCCCACAACCCTAAAACAATAGGCAACGTGTACTGTAGTTTTATTTGGGCCAATTCATAGGACCTCATGCGTGAGTAGTTTTGCACCACATCACATCACATCACCTCATAGGATCGACACAAGCAACCGCTGTTTCTCAGAAAACAATTTATTACAATTTATTCAAACCTTTTATTTTCTGAGCTCCACTTGGAACTGTTGGAGAATATTCAGCCAAGAGGCTTCCCTAACTTCACCATCTGCGAAATGTAGATCCAGTTTTAATGGTTGTTTAATAGTATTTTCATATTTTTGAAGGAAATGGTGTGTTTGTCCCACTGCTCTTTCCAGTCCTCTTCTTTCAGTCCATCGCTTCCTTCAGCCACCAATATGAATGAACAACAGAATTTCATTTTACGTTATGTGAATCAAAAATTCTCAGAATATGATTTTTGGAGGAAAGGCTACTGGAGAATTTTACCAACCAACTGATTTTGCTGCCAAGAAATAACGTGGAGAATTCTGAGAGGCGATTTTTCACTCAGCCCTAGAAACTCGTTCACAGGAAAAATACTATGAGGGAACACACCCAAATCTGAGGCTCATTCTTTCTTTTTTTAATAAATAATATTTATTAAGTTTTCCATTTTAATATAATCCAATAAAACCACATAAAAGCATTCCAAATTACAATCAAAATAGCCAAGTATAAAAGCCAAATTATATATCTTTGGGTGACTTCCCAGGCTCCGAATTTTGCGGAGTGCTGATCATCTAATATCACATTGCATTTCTTAGTTAGTCAATAAACCATTCTGATGTTGATCTTTCATTTTATTTTCATTTATGTTTGCAACCACTGGTCTGTCCAACTTTTGCCTTCCTAGTTCTGTATGAAATATTTCCCCCTGTTGTTATCCACCTTCCAGCAATTCCATTTTCGATTTCTGCTCACAGGAGACGTAATACGCCACATCCCAAACAAAAAGATGCCATTAGCCCCGGGCAGACATCCAGAAATCCCCTCTGTAGTCTCGCTCCATCTCCCAACATGCTGGTACCTCTGCAAAAACAAAATAACTCCAGTCCAGAATTCTTTCCATCCTTCCACTGAGGGTAGCTGCCAGAATCCTCACCCAGTCAATATTGTAATTGAACCACAACAGCAGCAGAATGCTGTTTCAAACCCTCTTGCAAACAGAGCCAAATCTGAGACTCATTCTTGTGCATGCATCAGGGGGTGTAGCAGGAAGGTGGGGGCATAGTCCCAGGCACATGATTTTCAGGGGGTGCGAACCGGCATGCATTCATCCTCTGTGCTAGGCTCATGTGACTGGATATTACAGATGAACAGGTCCCCGTGAGAAATGAGAGTGAATCAGCAGACAACAAGCAACATTTTACAATGACAGCTCCAAAACGGCCATCAGTTTGAACTCTTTGTTACATGAACCATTAGGAAAGTGCTGTGGGATCTGTGGAAGACCTATGCAAAGTTTGGCAATGTGTGTCCAAACCCCAGAAATCTTTGTCATCACTATGGGTACAGGCATCAAAATTCCAAAGTAAAAGGCAGTAGAAAATCTATCAGCCTGTCTACCAACCTAGCAACCAAACTTCTGATGTTTGATGGTAACGATAAAAATCACATTCGAGTCCAGTTTTTAACATATGCAAGTCTGAAAAGGTATACAAGCAGGGCTTTTTTCAGCCGGAACTCAGTTCTGGCACCTCTCAGGTGAGCACCATTGCCATTATAAATAGAAAAAGGGAGGTGTTCATAGTGAGTTCTGGCACCTCTTTTTCCAGAAAAATAGCACTGTAGTACAAGTATAAACGCCAGCTAAAGCAAGTATTCCCTCCCCCTCAAAAATGTACTCTGCATGTGGGATAAAATCTCAGGCCATCTAATTTACTCTCTGGGCCCTGTCATTAAAAAATGACCAGACAGTGATGTGTTGACATTTTGCAAATTTCCATTCGGCATGTGCTGTTATCACAGCTGTCCCTTTGTAATAGCTTTGCTTAAAGGACACTTGATGGCTTTTAATATATAGCAGCTTGATGGTTATAGTGTTAATACCAGATAGTGTAACTTTGGGAGTAGTTAATTATCTCTGTAGTGCTACAGGATATTGTAACTTTGAAACCAAAAATGAGCTGCAGGAGGTTATCTGTGAATTTGAAATCCTAAGGAAATTGAATGAAGGTCACAGTTCTGAAACTGAAATCGTATTTTCCTAGGAAAATATTTCATTCGGTGTGCTGAAAAGAAAGTAAAGGGAACTGTTTTGGACACTCCACTTTTAAAAACATATCTACAGCAGCCTCTAGCTGGACCAGGGAATAAACCTCATTAGGCAGACATGGGCAAGTCACTTTTTCTCACCATGGTTTGTCTTAAAAGGTTGTTGTTAATATAAGATGGGATAATGCCCCTGTGTTTTGTGGGCCATAATGAATTGCGCTCCAAAACAATATTGCATTGTGTCTTCCAGTTCTCACTCACTCCTTCCCATAGTTCAGGAATCTTGTTTGTTTTCCCCTTCTCTGACAGCTAGACCTTGACTACATTGCTATTCACTGTCCAGCTATTGCTCCCTTCTCTGTGCTCGTCTACCCTTGTCCCGTGCCTAGAAAGCATGCCTCCAAGCAGTTTTCCATGGTGATAAGGTAAAGCCACACAGGTATCAATGATGGA